AAAACTGCAGTAGATAAATATTATCTGCATGTGCATGAAAGAGAGAGAGAGAGAGAGAGAGATGTCTAAACCACACTACTGGACTTGACTGAAGACTTGAAAAGTCCAAATCAGGAGCTATGTCTATTCTGTGATGGCAACAATTTCAGCTCTGAAACTGTTTAGTAACTTCCTCATCTAACTCTAACTTCAGGTGCTTGGTTTGTTTTAAAAATGAAATTCAAATAAGTCATTCATTAAGACTAAACCATACTGAATCAGAGTTGGCAACTTACTGTTCCATAGGGGTGTGCGAAATGGGTCCCATTCAATTCGGATTTGGATTTGGCCTGAAACAGGGACAATGATTCAACTTGTTGATTCGGATCACTGTCCCCGATTTGATTTGGCCAAATCCAAATCTGAAGATTCAATGCTGATTTGAAGAATCAGCGATTTGGCCACAGACACAGCTTTAAACATTTTTTCTGCATACCTCAAGGTACCAGGCACAGCTTGTGCTGGGGCGGATGGAGCATCCCACAGGAGCACAGGGGAGCCCCCTCACATGCTTGGTAGAGAACCCGGAAGTGGACCGGAAGTATTTCTGGGTCCGCTGGGGGGCACAAGGGGACCCCCCATGCCCCCCCGGCTCAGCGATCAGCTGTGGGGGGACTCTGGGTACCCCACCAGACCCAGGAGGCACCAGTCACTGAGTCGGGGGAGTGCGGGGGGCCCCCGGTGTGCTCCCTGGAGGACCTGAAAGTGGACCGGAAGTGCTTCTGGTCCACTTCCAAGTCTGCTCCTGAGCACACTGGGGACCACCCCATGCTGCTGTGGGATGCTCCATCTGCCCCACCATGGCAGCATTCATGAGCTGCCTGCTACCTTGAGGTAGGTAGAAAAAACATTTAAAGCTGTGTCTATGTCTGAATCGCCGAATCTTTCCAAATCTCTCCCAATTGATTCGGAGGGTTCTGATTTGATTTGGAGAAATTAAAGGGTCTCCTGATTCGATTCAGATTCAGAGATTCAGCCACCAAATCAGGCCGAATCTCCTCTGAATCGAATCAGGGACTGAAGCTTTGCACAGAACCTACTGTTCTATAGAATTACATGAAGGCAAATGCGATCCCTAGCTTTAAATTCTGGGTGATTTTAAACCATTGTTTGATCAGAGGAATTCTTGCTTTGTAGTTATTGAAAAGTAGCTCTTCATTGTTAAAATACATTGAAGTTACATAATGTTTGGTTGGCACCATACGGTGAATCATAAAGGCAAAGCATTTGCTATTCACGCTGATCTTTGAAAGTCAAATAAAGTCCTTGGCAAAATTCTAGAGTACTATATTCTAATTTGGTTCTGGCCTTGTATATTGTGAGTAGTGTACACCTCCTTTTACTTATATATGTCTCATGTCTGAATGGGCAACCAGGTACAGGTGTATCCCCCCTTCACATGCATCTTTTGGACATTTCTCCTTTCTCTTCTACATATGGGATGGTACAACTCAGCGCCATGCCCTACCCAAGCCTGTAACAACATGCAACATTTAACCATCACTAGGAACTGCTTCAAATGATCATTTGTTTAAGGTGAGTTTTAAGGCCGTTGAGCGGCCATGAGCAGAGACATACCATGTGTCTGATGTTTTGTCCCTTTTATTAAGTACTGATCTAAGGTTGTCAACTGGCTATATCTACTGGTAACAAATACAAAGGGTGTTGAGCTAATGCAGTTTCAAAATCCAGTTTTTCTTATTCCAGAGCTGGGCCACTCCAGAATCTCCTCATATCTGGCCATGTCCTTAGTCTCCTCTCCAAGCTTCACTTTAACTGTCCACCTCCAGAAGCAGGAAAGCCAAATTAAACAAGAGATTTCTCTGAGCCAACTCTGTATTAGGTCATCTGTTGTATACATTAAGCAAATGGCACAAACATCCCTAATATGAAAAAATGACCAAAAACGGTTTTTTTGTCTGTGTTGGATATATGTATAGTCTGGAATCAAATTTTCTGTTTTGCTCTCATACCCACCTCTAATCTGACTAAGGCTGGTGCTGAGGGGATTGCTCACTATAACGTTTTAAGAATCCATGACTTCCCTCCTGCAATTTATTCTGATCCAAAAATGGGCAAATTTACAGTCATTTATCAAGGCACTGTTTAAGTAAAGTGCTCAAGAAAAGCATTTCTGTAAACAGTGAGTTCACACAGGGCAGAGCTGCTTAAGTTTATTCAAATTAGATACTTTCCTTTGAAAACAAAAAGCCCCCTTTGAGGTAAATTTATCTATTCTGAAGTACTTCTCTTTTTTCCCTTTTGTTCTGTATTTTTCCTCCCTTTTATTCTTTAACATTTTTGAGAATTCTCTTTATTCTTGAAAATGAGTATGGAGTGGGGAAAGAATGGAAATGAAATATAGTTTTAAATTTTTAACAAAAGTGTGAAAAGTTTAGAAAATATGAAACTGGATCCTAAATTAAAGTTCTGAAATATTGACACTTTTTGTGCAGCTCTTGACATTTTCCACCAACTCAAGAAAAGATGGTGTATGTGGCTCTAGACAAATCCTATATTATAGGTTAATCAACTTTCTGAGCAGAGAAACACAATCTTGCAAAACTGATTATTTGCATGCACACAATGTGACTCCAGGGTCAAGAAGAATATAAACCACAGATCTTTTATTTAAACTCTTTTTGTTAAAATAGTTTTGTTATTTTTGAGGGTGGCTCATTGATGAAGTGACTCATTCAAGCATCTGATACTTGCTAATGAAACACCTCACTGCAGGTGTTATAGCCATTACCAGCCATCTGTTAACTTTCTTCGATTATCTTGGGTAATTTTTACATACTACTCACTGTGGCATCAAACAGAAGCAGTAAATAATATAACATTTTTTTAAAGGGGGAATTAAATATTCAAGAAAAATAGCAGGATTTGAGATATACTCAGAATTTTTAAGGGTTGGGCATAGATATAGAGGTACCACAGGACTATTTTCTGCACCCTTAGCAGAAAGCTGACATGGCATTGACATTCCCTTATTTCAAAAGCAAAATTGCTATTGATGGATACTAACTTGGTAGAGAGGCATGTTTTTTACTCATTTTTTGTAGCTGCTTTTACAAAGTTTTATTTCTTTTGCCCTTTATTTACCACCTCCTGCTTAGTCTTATTCATTCTTTTCTTTTGGATGTATAGACTTAACTGTTCAAAATCAAGTAGAGCCTAGCTTGCTGAGGAAAATGCCACTGTCATGCCAAGAATTTGTGTGCACGCTTAACTGGATACTAAGTATGTGAATACACAATCTGTAAGTGCACATCAAGTACAAACATGTGAATGCAAGCAGTATGCCAGCACAGGTGACTTTGAGAATCTGAATTGGGAGCTAGAAATTGCCTTTTATCCATAAAAGCAGCATATCTTTCAGTTCCTCTTCAGCTTAACTCTTTGACTACTATCCAGGCTTGTGGTCCAATATTTAGCACACCTTGCTCTGTAACATGAAAGACATGAGTACTCTGTTTGCTTTGTTTCTGTGTACTAGAATGGCACTGGACGTGTTTTAAAGGCAGAAAGCTAAGTTTTAAGGTATACTGAATTGACAGTGTATATTATTCAATGATACATCATTCAATGTGTATCATTATCCCTCTGGATATTTCAAGAGTGATACCAAACAGACCCCAAAGAAAAACTGAATGGCTATGATATGGAGCTTGAAGGAATACAAGGAACAGAAGATTTATGGGATGTTAGCATTATCACCAGAGCAGGGGAAGCTTTGAAAGTAGCCAACTACATTTTTGTCTGTGTGAAAGGGAACCACGACATTAGCTGTAGTTGGCGCTTCATCCCCTCCACCCCACAAAAAATTATTTTCCTCAAGGGCATTCACAGAAGAAAAAAAGACTGTACATCCTGAAGCACTGAACCATGAACAGCACTTACCAGGCTGCTGCTCCAGCTGGCCCAGATCCCCCCCTGCAGTACCAGACAGTGGTATAAAAGATTAATTCAATCTCCTGCCTAGATTCCTTTTTTAAATAATTTAAAAACCTACTTACATACCCTGGTAAACTTTGAAAAGCACAGTTTGAAAATATTTCCGAAAAACACACTTCCCAATCTGGCTTTCTCTTCCCTATAGATTATCACAAATAATACATACCTTTGGATCTTTTCTGCTTCAAAATAAGCTCATTTTGTTGCTTATTTTATCACCCAAATATCCTAATTCTTCTATGCTGGTAACATACCTTCCATCTCCATATCTTTATCCATTTCTAGGGCCAAATTACAGTCTCAGTGTTTTGCTCACAAAAGACTAAAGAGACAAAGGTCAAATATTAAGAACCATTCTCAAATACTAAGAACCATTTTGTGAGGTTTCTTCCTGCCCTACTTTACTATGATCCTATTCTCTATTCATTAGTTGAGATTTATTATCCTCTTTTTAAAAATGTGTTACCCCAGCAAGGAGCAGAAACAAAATCATACAACAAAACTGTCCACGTGAGCCAGAAACAATGAAGAGCAAAGTCAGAATGGATACTTCACACATACATACCCTCAGCTGAAATTTCTCTGTACATGCTACTGAGTGAATATCTTCAGACAGAAAATAAACATCTATATATCAAGATCAGTTCCTAAAGAGATGAAGGTACTGGATGAGTGCCCTAATATAGTTATTTACTTATCTACTTGAATTATACCTTCAAGCCCCAGCCAAGATTACCCCATAGTGCAAGGTGAAATCTGTACATATAATAAGGACACAGCCCTTCTAGACAGGGAACAAGTACTGAACACAGATCATCCATAGTTGTACCTTCTGCAGAACACCATTTTTTTTAATTTCTGTAGCTACTAAATCAACTTTCTCTCATTCAGACATAGTCTAATCCCAGAGTCTGTTCCTTTTTTTATGGGATCCCTTTTCATGCAGACAAGATACTGAGGACATTAAGTATATAAAAAGAAACATCTTAGTTTTCTATACCTACCCATTTCTGGGTTGTGAGTTTGCAGCTTCAGAATCATCTCTCTCTCCCTGGTATGAAGGAACGGTGCTTGATGGATGGTCTGGGATGTCTTCCTCAAGCCCTTCTGCTTCCCACTCACCCTCCTGTTGTAGAGGATATGTAGATGTCCCATATACTTGTGCTTTTAAGCTGTGGAAAGAACGGTGTTGGTATCCATGATTTCTTGAATTTGTGACCAGCTCCACCACTCTTACTACAACGCAGATGAGCAAAAGCTTAAATATCATTGTTGTTTTCTCTAACCAGTCACTCCTGCCTCTTTTTCTTTTTCCCACAGCTCAAACTGAGTTACTCCTGAAATTCCTGCTATAATTTTTTTTAAAGTTAAAACTTGGAAAAGAAAAAACACGGTTGTAACAAAGAGCGGAAGAAACTTTCAACCCTCCCAGCTACTCTGGAAATGTCAAGAGGCCACTGAACAATGTGAAGCTGGTTCCTGTGTAGGGCTCAAAAGAGTCTGAGACAGAGGAAAAATGTGGAGATGGGGTTATGCTTTATTCAGGGAACTTCTGATTTTGGTTGCCTTCTAAACTTATCTGTGAACAGGAACTTAAGTCTTTAACAGCTGACTTCTCCCTGGTGCACAGGAAAAGGATGTTAGCTTTAAAGAAAGAAAAGGAAAAGAAAAAAAATATTGAGCGATGTAGCAGATTCTAAGTTTCACATTCCCAAGCCAGGAAACTTATCACAAACCAACCACTTCTAGATCTATTTAAATGTCTCTGCTGTGAGTTAAAGGCTGGGGCACACTGATTAACATAGTTATAGTACATTTAATAAGCTACAGCTAGGCTCACCCACTGGATGGGTGTTACTCAGAGTGGAGGGTAAACTTGGGTAAATGAAGAATAATGAGCAATTTACAAAGATTTCTTTCTCTACCTTGGGTGGGATTTCCAAAAGAATGCAGTGATCATCTAACTCTGTTCCTATTGAAGTCAATGGTCATTTTATCGTAGATCTCAGTGGGAATAGAATTATGCAAATACTGAGTTGAAAATCACATAGTTGAAAATCTTGCTTCTAGCACTTTGTCTCAACCTGACTGATATAATATGATAGGCATTGTGGTCACTATTTGACAAAGACTTCCACTGCAATAGCTCCTGCAACACTTCACCTACTTAGAAAGTAATAATGGTGGAAATAATGGTGGAAATCTGGACACCAGAATTTTATAACAGGTGATCAGTGCATGGTTTCTGCTTCTATTTTAGATTATGGGGGTGCCTCTCTTGCTCTGTTTTGCAGTATGTAACTTCCTACTGTGGTTGAGGATACCATTTTCAGGAAAGAAGCTACACAGATTTTTTTTGTGCAGGGACCGGAACTCCCCCACCAAGATTTGGGACGGACTCAGGAGAGACTCTGACAGGTCTAGGGTAAGGGAGGACTAAGTTAGAGAACTTCTGGAGGGGCTGGACATGTTCAAATCAGCAGGTCCAGATGCTTTCCACCCCATGGTGTTGAGGGAATTGGCAGGGGTTATCGCTGGGCCCCTGGCACGGCTTTAGGAGCACTCGTGGTGCTCTGGCCAGGTGCCAGATGACTGGAAGAGGGCCAATGTGGTCCCCATCTTCAAAAAAGGGAGGAGGGAGGACCCGGGCAACTATAGGCCTATTAGTCTTACTTCTATCGTGGGGAAGCTCTTTGAGAAGATTATCAAGGAGCACATCTGTGAAAGACCAGCAGCAGGGATGATGCTCGGGGTCAACCAGCATGGTTTCATTAGGAGCAGGTCCTGTCAGACCAACTTGATTGACTTCTATGATCAGGTCACAAAATCATTGGATGCAGGTATCATGGTGGATGTAGTCTTTCTGGACTTCAGGAAGGCCTTTGACACTGTCTCCCACCCCATTCTCATTAAAAAGCTAGGCGACTGTGGCATTGATGCCTACACAGTCAGATGGATAGCAAATAGGCTGAGGGGCCGCACTCAGAGAGTGGTGGTGAATGGGTCATATTCAACTTGGAGGGATGTGGGCAGTGGAATCCCCCACCACTCGGTCCTTAGCCCATACTGTTCAATTTCTTTATTAGCAACTTGGAAGCGAGGGTGAAAAGCACCCTGTTTAAATTTGCGGACAACACCAAGATTTGGGGTGAGATGGGCACACTAGAAGGGAGGGACAGGATACAGCTGGACTTGGACAGGTTACAGGGGTGGACAAATGAGAATAGGATGGGATTCAACACTGACAAGTGCAGGGTGCTGCACATGGGCAGTAAGAACCAGCAGCATACCTATAGGCTGGGGAACTCTCTTCTCGAAAGCACAGTGGCAGAAAGAGATCTTGGAGTCATTATCAATTCCAAGATGAGCATGGGCCACTAATGTGAGGACATAGTCAGTATGGCTAACCACATCTTGTCATTCATACACAGATACATCACAAGCAGGACCAAGGAGATGATCCTCCCCCTCTATGTGACACTGGTCAGGCCGCAGTTGGAGTACTGGATCCAGCTCTGGGCACCGCACTTCAGGAGGGGTGTGGACAGCATTGAGAGGGTCCAGAGGAGGGCCGCTCTCATGATCCGGGGACAACAGGGCAGACCCTATGAGGAGAGGCTACAGGACCTTAACCTGTTGAGCCTTCACAAAAGAAGGCTGAGAAGGGACCTGGTGGCTATCTATAAACTTACTAGGGGAGACCAGCGGGGAATGGGAGAGACCTTGTTCCCCTGAGCACCTCCCAGAGTAACAAGGAATAACAGCCGTAAGTTGTTAGAGAGTAGGTTCAGACTAGACATTAGAAGGCACTACTTCACAGTCAGGGCAGCTAGGATCTGGAACCAACTTCCAAGGGAAGTAGTGCTGGCTCCTACCTTGGTGGTCTTTTAGAGGAGGCTTGACGATTACCTAGCTAGGGTCATTTGAGCCCAGTTTTCTCTCCTGCCCAGAGCAGAAGATTGGACTAGAAGATCTACAAGGTCCCTTCTAACCCTACCAACTATGAATCTATGAATCCGATAAAGAGGGTGAAAAGTCTGGATGCATAATTATTAGGTCATTCATTCAGTTCAAATGACTGGAAAACACACAGCCCAAAACATATAGCGTCTCCTCTAGATAGTTACATGCAAACCTGCTTTGATGCCTGCTTATGGGTTGGGAGGATAAGGTTTTAACTGTACCCTTAGCTTTGCAATGGTCCACCATTACAGACAGTGAAGTTGCACCCATGTACACTAGGTCTGGATTTAGTCCCTTCTCCTTCTGACTTTCTCTCTTTCCACTCTTAATTGGAAGCAGATGAAAATGAAATTACACACTTCAGACTTGTGCCAGAGCATATTCTGCAATAGCCATTTGAGTTTATTTCTCCATAGAGGAAAAGTTCTTAGAAACAATATATTCATTTCACAGTTTTTCATTCTTTAGGGCCTTGTTGCATGGTAATTTTGGGTAGCTCCTGAAGCTCTTAATACCTGGATTATCCACACATTATCACCTGAAACTAGTTTTAAGTACACATTATATCACTCAATGTTATGCCACTCCAGGGCAGAACTATCTCTGACCAGTGTTACACTAAGTATACACTAGAGTGCTACACCTTAGGTTGTACTTTAGTGTAAACACTAGAACTGTGCAAAGCTTCGGTCCCTGATTTGATTTGGCAGAGGTTCAGCCTGACTTGGTGGCTGAATCTTCAAATCCAAATTGAATCAGAGGACCCTTAATCTCTCCAAATCAAATCTGAACCCTCCAAATCAAGTCGGAGAAATTCAGAAAGTTTCAGAGATTTGGACATAGACATAGCTTTAAATGTTTTTTCTACATACCTCTAGGTACCAGGCAGCTTGTGAACACTGCAATGCTGGGGTGCATGAAGTATCCCATGGAAATGTGGGGGGGTTCCCAGCGCACTCAACAGCAGACCTGGAAGTGGACCGAAGCATTTCTGGTCCATTTCCAGGTCCACCAGGGAACACTCAGGGCCCTCTCCACCCCCTCCCCCACCCATGCCTCTGTGGCTCATGGACTGGTGCCTCCTGGGTCTGGGGGGGCCACCCGGGGTCCCCCCATGGACAGTCACTGAGCTGGGGTGGGTGTGGGGGGGCCCCCCACATGCTCCCCAGCAAACCTGGAAGTTAACTGGAAGTACTTCCAGTCCACTTCTGGGTTCGCCACCAACCACAGGGAGGGGCCCCCTGAACTCCTGTGGGATGCTTCACGTGCCCCAGCATCACAGCATTCACAAGCCGCACCTGGTGCCTCAAGGTATATAGAAAAAACATTTAAAGTTGTGTCTATGGCTGAATCACTGATTCTCCAAATCAGCATTGAATCTTCAGATTTAGATCCAACTGAATCAAATCAGAGACAGTGATCCGAATCAATTAATCGAATCCCTGTACCTAATTCGGTCTGAATACAAATCCAAATCGAATAGGGCCCACTTTGCACACCCCTAGTAAACAGCCTACCCACCCCACTCTCCTTCTGGCCTGGATTGGGCCCTGAGCTCTGCCATCCTCAGCATCCCAGATTCCACTTACTTGTGGCTGCCTGTGCTGTATGTCCTGGGGAGCAGGCAGGGAAAGGTTAACCTGCTGGCCCAGCCACTGACATCACCACTTTCTGGGCAGGCTCAGCCCAAAGAAGAGCAGCAGTCCAGCAGTGGCAGTGGAAAGGGCAAGCAGGCAGGTTAACCCTTCCCTCTGTGGTCCCTGGGACAGCCAGTGCAGGCAGCTCAAGTTATTGGGCAGGGGGCGGGGGCAGGGCAGGGGAGTCTCAGAGGGAACACCTGAGAGGCAGGGGGAGCTCTGGGAACAGAGGGGGAACCAGAAAAGTCCCAGGAGTAGAGAGAAACCAGGGAAGCGCCAGGGGGGGCAGGGTGTAAGCCTGGAATAGGGGGAAGGTTTCTTACCCTTCAGTCTTCCAGGCCCCCACTGGCACGAATGTGAACTGCTCCAAACTCAAGCTAGCACTAACACTGATCAACATTTGTATGGCTCACAGTGTAAGGTGTAACAAGGCCCTTGCTTTGTACATAAAAAGGAAAGAATTAATTTTTAAAAATATATTTATGTCCAAGTTAATCCACTGAAACCTTAAATTCAGTACAATCTACATGATAGGCTATGGCTATAAAAATGAATGGCATGATCATCAAAAAACGGGCCACTTTTAAAAAGTAGTAAACCTAGAATGGTTTTAGTGAACATTTGTTGCCTCAGGAACACATATTCTGGTTTCAAATCTCTGCAAACAGACTATACAAGTAAAAAGGATTTTGTGATTTTTGAGGATAGACTGTGCAATTCTGCTGATCCGTGTTCAGAAAGGGAATAAATATTCATGCAATATTGATTTTCCAGGCCAGGAAAATGCTGTCTCATTCTTCCTGTCTCATGCTCATGCAGGCATGCTCACATACACACGCGCACTCAAGCACTCTCAATGTAATGACCCCTGGGACTGAGTATACTGTTAACCTGTACCAATGGGACCACAATGAAAACAGTGGAGTAGAATTTCACTAAAAAGTAAGGGGGAGGGGTTAT